CAGTAAAACACCTGGAGGAGCTTTGTGTCACCCGGGGCTCTGAAGCAAGAAATCTGCATTAATATTTGGCAGGAATTGCAAGTGAGCCAGGACCAAGGCTGGCCATGACCCTGCATCTCCTGAGCACAGGAGGAAAGTTTTCTTTAGTTTGGCTGCCTTGGGATGAGGCTGTGGTGGGGAGATGCTCTGCCAGAGAAGGGAGCAAGGAATGATAAGGCTTTGGAGACAAGCTGTAAGAATTAAACAAGCTCAGGAAGAAAGTCTAGATCAAAGCTGATATTTCTGACATTATTGTTTTTATGTATAAAAACAATCCTGGCATAAGGGAGCAAGTTGGGCTGAATAATTTTTAGTCTGAAGGTTATTCATGGGTGAGCTGTTTGATTCTCTGGTGTTAATTCTGCTTTGTGTTGCATCATAAGAGTCACAAGGATTTCTTTGTATCCCAGAGTGGATAACAAATAAATAGAATTGTAGAATGACCAATAGTTGATAGTAAACAACGGATAAAGTCTATGAGTTAAATTTATTAAACCTGCAAAACTTTTTTCTGAATTTCCTCAAACAACATCCCCTTTCCCCAAATAACAAATGACATGATCTGCACAAGCATGACAAAACAAAGTCAATACTTATCTATATTGAAACATCTGGAAATCAGGATCTTGTGGACTCTTTGTTCATCACTGAAAGTGTATTAGCCCTTCTTCCAGAAATAATAAAATCAAAACATTTCCCTTCAGGATGAGCATTTTGGACTCTTTTTAAAGTAAATCCACTCTTAGTCAGGGAAGCACTGCAAAGTGTTTGCAAAAGCAAGGGGTTGGTTTTGTCAGAGGGAGGCGAATGGCAAAGTTCCTGTGGAGTTAAATCCTGAAGAAAACAGCCATTGGAGCAATGAGCTGTAATCTTCCTTAATCCATAATATCAGCTGTTGACAGATACACAGTGAGTGATTAATAGGATGCTAAAAAATGTTAACAAAGAAATAGGGACTTGGAGATGGCTCTGAAAATTTCCTTATCACATTTATAAATTCACCAGAGGTACCATCATTACAATGTATGACAAAACATGTTTTCTCTGGCAATTTACTGGCAGGTCTAATCGAATGTGCCATCAGAAGTGGGGAGTGGAAATGAAACTCCTGTTCTGCTCTTCCCTGCTCCTTCTCAGAGATGAGAAGAAAAGCCCCACTGGGATCTTGCCATCTCACATGTTCCACAAACCTCCTCAGGCACGAGATCATTCCAGATGGAGCTGCTACTCCAAGCATTTATCTTGGAGGGATTTGTTTCTTTCGTTATTTATTTGTTGTTAACAAGGAATTAAAAGAGAATGGGGGATGAAAAACACATTCTCTGCCTGAGAGGACTTTCACCATTTAGCAAGATTTAAGTTTCTATTGATACTTCAGTAAAGGAGGGGAGTGACTACAAGGAACAATGCTCAATAATAAAGATATTTTTAGACTTGGATTAGATATTCATCCTCAGTCTGGAGGATATGACCTTGAAAAAAAAATTCATTTAAAAAAGACAGATGATAAACACCTTTCTAGAGCTATGTCCAAGAGATTGTTATTCCTACAAAGGCCTTTGTAAGCTCCAAAAAGGTAAGCACAATCCTACGTGCTTGATATAAGCCTCAACAGATTTCTGTGGGAAAATGTTGAAGGGGGAGGGAAAAAGTTCAGCCTCTTTATTTCCCCCCTCATTGAGATTAAGATAATCTTTTCAGTATATGTTCCAGTATTTTACTGAGCTTATTTTTTAATGAGATTATTCAGAAATCAGCTACTAGATTTTGCAGTTCCTATGCTACCTTCACTCCTCTGATGATATTCATGAGTAGAGAAGCCTTAACACTTCAAAGGCAAACCATTCAGCCCCCAAGACTGCAAACAGCCCCAATAAAACTAAAATTATCCATCCTTGATGTTGTAAAGAGTTGTTCTCTGTAGCTCCTTTTTAGAGGACTGTAACACAATCAGAGCTGTGCACTGAAATGGGCATGTTATGAACTGGAAATGAGGATAAAATCTGTGAGTGCTCCATGTGAAATGTACAGTTTGGATTTTGCAGGCACTGATTCTACTGCAGAGAACACAGGGCAGCTTACTGCATGGTTATCCACGAAAGCATTCTGTCTGGGCTGGAACAAACTGGTGCTGATGGAGCATCACAATTCCCTCTGGGAGACATGGACTGGCTCCTCACTAACTGGGAGCTGCCATGAAACTCATTGTGGAGTAGGGCTCCTCTGGACTGAGCTCAGCAGGGTTAGTCTGGCTCAAAGCTAAGGCTGAAGCAGCCTCTCACTCCTGCCATGCCCTTCCTGGTGTTTTCCTCCTGGGAGCTGTCACTCCTGGGCCCCTGAGAGACCCTGAGATCAGAAAGAAAGCATTAAAGGAAGGAGATTTCGACATGGCATCAACACAGCTAATAGCCATGCCTGTCAGTTATGGAAGAAGAAATGCAAATTCCAGTGACAAAATGGCACATCTGTCCTCAGACCTGAGCTCCAGCAGCAGCTGAGCTGCAGCACTCTGTCGAGTGGGAGAAAAAAAACCCAACCCAAACACAGATTTTGTGCATCCCTTGTGGCAGCTGTGCTGTGGCATCATGACTTTTTTACAAACCCGAGCCTAGAACTGGAGTCAGAGCCCATGACTGCGGTGGAATAAGTGTGGTCCCCAGCTGCTGGGATCGGGATGCCATGAGCCAGCAAAGGAAGCTGAACCCATTTGTCTGCCTGTTTGGTTCTGCTGCTTCAGCTCAGCTCTTCCAGTGTTTTGGGAGGCGGATTTTTTCTGCTGGCTGCTGCAGCCCTCTGGTGGCCACACTCCTGTTGCTGGGGAAGCACAGTCTGACATTCTGCACGGGAGGAGAGCATCCTTTAGAAAGCAAAATAGTTATTAAACAGCATGTTCACCGAAGAATAAATATATAAATAAATGGGACACTTAGGATGCTATTTATTCCAGGTGTACAAGCACAGCTGTTGATAAACTACTTGCTTTTGAAGAATCAAAGGAAAAATTACATATAAAGCATTGATCAGCCGTGATTTTAATGGGGTGCCCTGTTTCATCTCCCCAGCCTGTCACTAAACAGTCTGCTTTGAAGTGCTCCTTTTTTTGAGCATTTGCACATTGATTTACAGGGGTGTGGGTAAATTTTGTGCTCACAGATGAGTCTTACTGAGTATCTGCTTATTGGAAATGTGTCTGTCTGAGCAGGAAACTCCAAAGAGGGGTGGAAAACCTCTTGGGCTGGGGAAGATGTGGACAAACCTGTACTGTGCCACATTTCTGCAAAGACTAACAGGTAGATTTTTCTTCGAAGCTTGAAAGGCAAGCCTGGTTTATGGTTCATTTTGTTTTACTTCCTAATTTACCAGGTAGAGACAGAGACATCACTGCTGATTGGAAATAAACCATGGGAATTCATAGTGGAAGGAGAGCCCTGATGGGAGCAGTGCCATCCAACAGCCCAGCTGTTCACTCCCTGCCCAGTGCTGGGAGCCAGCCCCAGCAAAGGAGATGTTTATGGAATAAATAATAGGATGGATCAAAGGGAAAAACTTGTGCACGGGTGTGGGGTACTCCAGAGGAGGTTGTCCAGTTTGACTGATGTTTCTGGAACTGACAGCAATAGTACTTGCAGACCAGGGTGCCCCAGTCCTGCCAGGGAGATGATATTATGCTACTGTTTTCCCATTATTTTGCTCATTTTTCCCGTTACAGTAGTTTCAGGAGAAATGGCTGCATTTCAAAAAGGTATGATAAAACCCAAACCTATAAAAATACCCGGAAAAACCAAAGGACAGAGTGGAGACACAGTGACTCCATGGGCTCATCACCTTTCCAGGGCAATGCTGCCCCTGCAGTAACTGCATTCAGGTGGGTGGGGTGGGACAGTTTCAGCAGGATCAGCAGGACGCTGGGTGACAATGACATGGAATGTCCTGCGAGCAAGTGTGACAGCCCATGTGTTCATGGTGCTGGAAGAAGCCATTGGATCCATACCACACATCACCCTGAGCCCCTCCAGGTGCACGTAGGTGTGTCCTACCCAGCTTAAGCATGGAAAAATCAGACATTGGGATGGCTTCTGTGCCTGCAGGTATTTCCCACCTGAGCTGTTTGCAATGAGGCTGCTGACACTGCAGCTTTCCCAAGGTCTGCACAGCACCACAGTGCCAAGTGTAGAACCAAAGCTCATTGTGGGGCATCTCCCTTTGGAGCTGGCTGCCCTGGCAGCACCTCCTTCACCCTCTGAACAACTCAGGCCCCTGGGAAATAGTCTTGACTTACCTGTACTAACATTTTAATGGCATACATCCCATTTTAGTGCCATTGGTGCTGTTTTGCTGTGCTGCAGTGATGCTGCTCCAAGAGAGCCAAGCTGCCTCCCAGGGCTGCAGCCCAAGGACAAGCTGCATCTCTGTCCCAGCTCTTCCACATCCTCAGGCTCATCTTTCTCACAAGAAACCCTTAGTGCTTCCATAAAATGGTACTTTGCATATTTTTTGTTTTTAACTCAATGACCTCTTTGTTCTTCATTTTCTATCATCCCACGTGTGCAGAACCAGATGTGACTTTTTTGTTTTAAGATCACTTTTATTTTATATGGAGACAAACAGTAGTAAGAAAGTAACAAAATTAATGTCTGCCTGAAAGAGCACAGGGCAAGTATCATCCTGGGTTCCAAAATATTCTCCAAACAAAAAGGCTGATAAATTTTTAAGACGTATCTATATTGTGAGGCGCTGAGAGATTTGGGGCAGTAAATGCCTACGCTGATAAAACCGTGTGAAATAGCCTAGTGCAGAGCAACTTACAGCTCAGTCCTGGGTGCAGTGACATCACCCGGGTGCAGAGCAGCAGGGACACGTTGCTGGTTTTGTCCTGGCACACATGGCAGCAGTGGGTGGCACACACAGCCAGCACTCCCCCAGCTGCAGAGGTCACACAGACTCGTCCCGACGTGGAAAAGTGGGAGTCCCAGTGAAAGCACAGGCAGGATGCACAGTGTTAAAAAACAAGTCCAGGGGGGTTCGGGGCTCTAGGACTCCACGACGATCATGCTGAGGTTGTTGCAGAAGATGACCCTGCCGTCCCTGGTGCTGCTGCACTCGGGCTGGCACAGAGCATCCCGCAGCCGCCGCCGCAGCGCCGCCGGCGCCGTGCCCAGGAAGTTTTTCGTCCCGGTCAGGAAATCCATCATCAGTCCTCCCAGCGCGTCCCCCTCGGTGAAGCACTCGGTGATGTCCCAGCCCGAGGGCAGCTCGTAGACGCGGTGCTGAGCCCCGAGCCGCCGCAGCACCTCGGTGATGCCGCCGCAGGTGATGTAGTGCCCGCTGTCCGTGGAGGGCAGGCAGTCCCTGTGCTTCTTCCACAGGCTGGCCCACCCGCTGCTGTCTGCGGGGACACCCGGGAAGGTCACTTTGGCAAAGCCAAGGCACTCAAACACCAGCTAATCAACCACGAAAACAGCTGGAAGAGTTCCCTCGCTGCCCGACTTTCGGGAGAGTTTTCCCCTTCCATGAGCATACTTACAAATATCTGTGCCTCATAAAACTCTGATCTCTCCCAGCCCTCCCTCCAATGCTGTCCTGTTTAAAGGAAACTCCCAGGAGATGTCTCAGTCCCAGGAGATGTCTCAGTCCCAGGAGATGTCTCCAGCACTGAGTTTCCCCAGAAGGAAGGGTACACACAGAGGTACCAATGTGCTGAGCCTGACCAGCCTCTTAACTGGGCCAAAACTGTGCAGATGTTTCCACACACCAAACCTCAGTTATAAGTGTGTGGCATGCTGGAAAGCCAAGGAAAGGAGCAGTCTGAATGGCAGCATCTGTTGTCTTTCTGGGGTCTGGGTCATTGCTATAAGGATGAGTCCACCCAGAGCTCAGGTTGTGTTTTTACAGTGCTGATTTCACCATGAGAAAGGATTGACCCTCATTCATGGACACAGTTCAGCCACACTTGTCTCTACTAGATCCATTCCAGAAGCAGGGAAGCAAGAGCACAAAGGCTGTGCCTAAGTGGCCCCATCAGACACTGGAGCCCAAGGCTAAGCCAAAGATTGCATTCTCCATATGAAATCCAGCATTTTTTAAAATTATTTACTATAGAATAAGCACTACAGACTTCCCCAGATAAATATTTGTGGCTCTAAAACTTCAAAGCTCTTCAAAACTCCAGCAATGGAGCAGAAAAGAAAAAGTAATGTCTCCCTTACCTGATAAAATTATGATCAGGAGTTTACCGTGATGGTCGAGGCAGCTGTGGAAAAATTTGATAGTATTGGGAATATCCTCCACACGGTACAGCATCTAGAAGAGACAGTGACACACAGCCATTATTCCTCCTCCACAGTGCAATGGCCCTCCAAAGGCTCAAACCCTTTCTTTTAGAGGTGTTTTAAATTCTGTTCCAGATGCTTGCCAGCCTTTCCTGATTTCACATGCCCATTTAGGGACTCCTCACAGCACTGAGCACTGCCAGCTTTGGTGTTTGTAGAGCTTCTGCAGAATTGTTATGGGAGAGCTGTGCTCAGCTCTGGTCCTAAATTCAAGCATACAGCAGAACTGAAGGGGGTAGTTAAACCAAATAGTCCTGTGTTAAAGCCATGTCCATTACCTGGATCATATGGATGAAGTCAAATTTCTTATGTGTGCCTTTCTCCTTCACCTGCTGTTCATACTCTAAGGAAGTGAGTTGGTGCCAAATAAAAGAAACATTCTGCAGGTCTGGAGCTTGATTCACCAGCTCTGTTTCAAAAAGTAGAAGAAAACCATAAATTTCATAAAAATAGCAGAAAAACTCATCATTCAAATGGATGGTTCTTGCTATAACCCAGGCAACAGGTGTAGCCTTACCTTTGTAAGCTGCCACGTGCTGTGGGTTGGGCTCCACAATCTCATTGTCAATAAAGACCCCTGGGTGCACAGCCTGCAGTATCCTGATCATTTTCAAATCCTGCTCACCTATTCAATAAACACAAATTCACTACTTTAGAAACCAGGTAAATGTGATGGAAGGATGCCAGTGCAGCTGCCACCACTCCTGCCAGGAAGTCCCCCAGCAGAAGTGAAGCATGTTCATGTCTGTGGCTCATGCAGTGGCATAGCCTGGTGATATTCTCACCATGGTATTGTACAGCTCAGGCTAACAGAGAGGTACAGAGGAGCCTGAGAACAAGGCAGAGACGAGCAGCAGCACAGAAACGTGCTAATGGCAATACCCTGGGTTGGGAGACAGACGGGTCAAAGGAATCACAGCTCACTGTTTACAAAAATAACCACGAAACATGAGTTTTCAACAACCCCAGGAAGTTTTATGGGTGCAAGAAGGCAGCTGGCACAGCTGTGTAACCCCAGCATCCTGGGGTGGCCCATGGCTTTGGGGCTGTCACAGGCACACAGTGGCTGCTGTGACACAGCCCCAAGGCCTGGGGAGCTGCATCTCAAGAGAAAAGACCATTGACATGCAGTGTTCTGGATCCTCCCTCTTCAGGGATTGTCTCAGCCCAGGGCATCAAATAACTGATGGTTATCTTGGAAATACAGGTAGAGACTCTCATATTTGTGTGGAAGTGCCCTGCATATTTAGCTACTGGTGCTCCTGTGCTCTGTGCAAGCTCTGGAGGAGCAAGCAGCAGTCTGTCCTCCTGTTCTAGGAAATTTCCAGCCTCTTCTGAGGTAATACCAGTCGCACTGCTTATTTCCCAGAAATGCCATGATATGCCAAGTGTATGAGCCTCCCTGATTGACTTGAAACTATGTAAATAAACAGCAGATGCAGCCACCTTGATGGGACCTCTGCAAGAATCTTGTCTGTAGCTGATGGTGGGGCCTAAAAATAGCCCTGGCCTTGCAAATGTCACACAGAGAGGTCTTGATACAGGATCCTGCATCCTCCCTGTTCTTTCAGCTGATGTACCAGCCACAGGAAGAGCCGTCATCCTTGGCAGGTGCTGCAGTGCATAAAATTCAAGGAGGGAAATGCCGGCCATGCCAGCACTACAGGGACATCCCAGGAAGGATGAGTATTTTGAAATTAGAGGAAAAAATACCCCAGGCCCGTGAGGAATGCAGTGGCAGCAGGGCAGGACTGGACAAAGGTTCAAGGAAGGAGGCTGTGGCTGCATCCATGGAAGGGGGTGCAGGGACCAATATTGCTGGCAGGAAGGGAGATCCCAATAGCAAGCAGCCGAATCATTTGTGACAGTCCTGGATGCCAGTTTGTAAGTGCCCGGTTTGGGGAGCACCAGCTCTTCGAGCTGCCTGCAGGCTCAGGGCAGGGCCAGAGGCAAAACATCACTGCCCATGCCCTGGAGCCACTGATGGAGGCAAATGCCTCTATCAACAGCAGGTGGATATCTTAAAAGCTGCCTAGATTTGGAGGTTTTTTCACTCCACCTCTGTCAAATTCCTTAATCCACTGTTTGAAAGAGCAAGTAATAACGTCTTCAACCAGGGTGTCTGTAAAAACAAGCAGTAAAATAGGGCAGGAATTTCTCTGCTGCAGCTTGCCCTGCCAGCAACAACCCTTCAGCACTGACCACAGCAAGGCTGGGACAGGACTGGAACCTCTCTGCCACTGGAAAGTTCCAGCTCAGAGTTAACCCAGCCACGAGAAACCATGGGGGGAGTGAGAAAACGTGATTTGGACCACGACAGAGGCTTTCAGGGTGTGGAATCGGCCACTAATCCCTATTAATATTTTCATCAACTAAACTAATTCTGGGGGCTCTGTGAAACCAGAGTCCTCCTCTGAAAAGGTCAGGGATCAGATATAACCTTTTACTGGGTGCCATCCCAGCTCCCTCCCTGCCCAGCCCCAGAAGCTCAGCTCTTGCAGCCGTGGGCAAGCTGGGGGGTGCAGGTCTGGACCCCTGTCCTGGCATCTGTGAGGGGCACTCACCCAGGAAACACAGGAAATCTTGGAGGGTTTGTTTTTCCATTAAAACCTCCTCTGAAGAGGACATAAGGAAAATTAAGGACGATGCTAAAAGTTCATTTCCCCCTTGTGCTTTTGTGGAGTCAGAATTTCTGTTTTATATTACTTAATGAAAATAGAGGGTAATTGAGAACTGAATCATTTCTTCCTGCTTGGTTTCTCATATGGTCCAACATATTCCCAGTTGGGGAAAACAATCAAATGCTAATTTTCTCTTACTCAGGAAAACAAAACTCAAAAAGTGAGAAAAATGCTTTCATTTGAAAGTATTAGCACTTAAAATTCAGCTGAAAATACTTTTCAAAGCAGAAGTAAACTCTGACAAATCAAACCACTGCTTCTTTTCTCTACTCTTTATTTTCTCCCAGTTTCCCTAGGAGCAAAGTTGGCTGTTTCACCACTTTTTTGTTTAGTTGTTTTGGGTTTTTTTAAACACAAATGCATTTAGAACAACTTTAAAGCTATTTTTCCAAAGGATAGGTTTCTCTCTGGGGAAAAATATCATTTGCAGTTAAACCTTACTTATCACTGGGTAAAAACACAGCAATAACAAAGAAGCAAATCTTGAAAAAGCTGATGCAGTCCCATGCTGATGGTTGTGGCCAGGTGGTTTTGCATTACTGAGAGCAGAGCATTGCCCAGCCTTGGCCTCTGGGATCCCTAAAAGCAAAGCAAAAGGAGACATCCCTTCAGGGGGAATAGTCTGCGGCAGGATTTTGGGTGGAAAGAACTTCTCCAATGTCTGTAATTCTCTCCAACCAGGTTTGGAGATGCTCTGGTACCAAACCAGAAGGAGGAGTCCTTGCTTTGAGGCAAATAAAGTCAGGTGAGGTGATAGTCACCAAGAGGCAGAAATTAAGTTAAAATCACACATTTCTCCCTGCCCAGAATGATCTGAGCAGTGTTTCAGAAGGGAAATGGAGAGGGAAGGAAGGGAAGGAGCAGTCCTCTTATCCCAGCTCCACTTTTCCTTCTGTTCATCAATAGGAAACGCTGTCATTAATGTCTGATTAATTAATTAATGTCTCATTGGCCAATTTTTCAGTATCTCCTTCTGCTCCCCACAGGTCACCCGTGCCCCATCCCCACCCTCCTCACCTGTGCCACTCCCAACTCCCAGAACGTTGATGGTCGATTTTCCAATGCCAAGACTGAAAGGATAAATACACATTACTTAACCACACTGTATCACAGGACTTCATGTTTTCATTCTTACAGCTTGGCTGACACGTCAGCCTGGAAATTTTCATGCCATGCCCCTGAATCAGGACAGAAATTGGATCATCCCTTCCGAGCCTGGTGATAACCAGCATGGCAGGAGCCTGCCCAGAGCAGCCAGCTCGTATTTCAAAGTATAGTAGGCACCACGGTGTAGAGTTTCTCACCCTTTGCCAAGGAGGTTTCTTCAGGCTGTGCAAAAAAGCCTCTGGGAACCCCAGGGCAAAGGGGCTGGACCTGACTGGGATGGCACTGCTGGGGAAGCAGGGACCAAGTGAGCTGGGGAAAACCTCAGAAGTGAACACTGGATACAAATACCCAGAAAAAGCAAAGCCATTAGGCTATCCGGGTGACTGGAAATCATCTCTTATCAACATTAATCTTGGATTGAAATTGGGAGAAGGTCTGAATCTTCAATAATTTTTACCTTAGAAGAATTCTTTATTAAAAGTCACGTGCTTCCTAGCAGAATATTTAATACCAGCCGTGCTCTGACATGATTTATGTCCTTACTCTGTTCTCAGGCATGGACTGTGCCAAGGAATTGAGTTTTCCAAACAGTCTCAGGGGGCATCACAGTAATGATTCCACAGGAGTGGGATGAGTTGCAAGTCCTGAAGAGTGTGAGCAAGTCCAGGAGCCCCAGCCCTCATGAGGGTCCAGACCCTTTGATAAAACCCAAATCAGCATCGTAGAAAGCCACAATGTTTTCTATTATTTAAATTCACAATTAAAATGTCTCAATATAATATTTAATAATTATTATGTTATTGTTTATTTTATATATATATATAATCTGATCTGTAGAATAAAAATTTGCCTGCCTACACTTTTTTTCTCAATGGAGAAAAGTACAGTTCCTATAACATCCAAAAATTACCCAGATTTTAAAGGGCTTTTTTATGCTTTGGATATGGGCTGTTCTGAACTCTCTGCAGTTATCCAGCCCTAAGATATTACATCAGTACTTTACAAAACTGATTATCATTTGGTATTTAAGCAATGCAAATCGACTTAGGATAGAAATAAGGAGGTCTTAGGGGACTGGAAAAACCACGAATTAGCCACTAGGAGAGAATTAGAGATGTGTTTCTGTTTGGATGGATGTGATGAAGTCCCAAAAGCAGGGAGAGAGCACAAGAGAGCTTTCTTTCAGAAAAGAACAAACAACCAAAAAAACCAACTTTAATCCTCGGAAAATCAGCTAATGAAAAGAGATGGATATGAGAATGAGGTCTTGAGTCTTTCCTTAACATAAGCTGAGAGGCAGCACAGTGAATTAATTGAAACAGCACTCTGGAGTCATTAAACAGAATATCCTAAAAACCTCTATTAGGGGACTTAAAACTGAAAAGCATTTAAAGTTCATTTCTGCCCCAAAGAATCCTTAAATATTTTTGCAGACTCCCAGGACAACAGATGGCTTTCCCACCTGTGGGAAGTGCTCCTTACCCAGCCATGATGTTGGGCATTTGTTCCCTGTTGAACTCATCCATGCACTGGTGCTCTGTTGAGTGATCCAAGAATGACTTAAAGGCCTCCACATACTCCTCAGCCGTGAGGCTTCTCATGGAAGGGATCATGTAGAGCTCTAGGGAAACAAATATGGATTGCATGTCAGAGGCTTCGAGGCATGTGAAGGGTCAAAGCACTTACCTCATGGGAGATACCCAACCTAACCCAACAGGAGCCAGAGATCTGGGAAAACTATGCAGAGGATGCACTTTCCAGCTTGTTCACACTCAGGGTGAAAAAATTGTTCTTGGCTACCCTTTGACATCAGCATGTTTGCTAAGTGACTCATCATCACAGGACAGCCTGAGGAAATGTCTCCAAAATGTTTAGCCAGATGTGGGGCACTGTGTTTGAGAGAAGGGATGGAACTGGAGGGGTTTTCTGGACTAAAAAAAAGGTGAAAGGAGGCACACAGTGGGTCCAAACCTGTGGGCCATCCCTCGTGCCCATGCTGGACAGTGTGACTGAGGTGGCAGCACCTGGCACTTCCCAGGAAAGGTGAGGCAACACAAACACTGCCACCTGCAGCTGAGGCAAAAACAGCCCTGTGCATCTCATTTGTGACTCTGGACAGCATGGCACTGAAATGGGCCGCCAGGGAGGTGAATTCCCTGCTGGGACCTGCAGCTCCTGGCCAGGAGTGCCACTGGTGGCCAAACATTTCACCTCAATGGGCTCATGTTCACATGTGGGTGGCTGACACCAAGATCTCTCCCTCTGATCCAAAACCAAGGGATACTCAATGGGTTCCAAGCAATTATTGCAAAGTCTCCCTTTCCTGCTGTCCCATCCTAAAGACAGGGCTGTTGCCAGGGCACAGGCTCAGGGCTGAGGAGCAGTGGCAGGACAAAGACTTGAGGTTCATGATGCCCTGCAGTCCTGAGTCTGTCTCTGCAGGAAGGCCCTCGTAGTGCAGCCTCCACCTGTGAGATCAATGCTGAAAAGGCATCATTCAGTGAGGAAAAAAATCAGCTATTCCTCCTAAATGAAACGAGCATGAAGGATAGGACTCGGCAAAACATCACAATCCTCATTTTTGCCTTTCAAGGAGTTGCTTTTTTATCACCTGCTTTTAGTCACCACTAATAAGAGAACCATGTATGTCTCATCCAGGACAGTGCAATCTCAAACTGAATGTCTCTGCTGTTTCCAAAACCACATGTCCTTGGCAGCTGTGTTCCTGGTCCAGCCCTATTGGAGATAGACATCAATGATTGGAGATAGACATTAATGTCTATCCTCAACACTTTGAACTCTACCCTAACATAAACCTGAAATCTGAACTGCAGTCAGAGTACCATCCTGTTTCTTCATATTTTCCTTTTTTTTTTTTTTTAACAATCTCTAACTCCAAAAGAATTAAAACATGTTTGTAGTGATAGCAATCTGAGTGGGCATTTTATTTTAATCTCTTTTTTCTTTTTTTTTTTTTTTCCCAAATACCTGAATTATCGTGTGGAGTTGTCAGAATCTCTGCTTCAAAGTTCATGCTGGGGAAACTATTCCTGTAAGGAAAGTATAGCACTTCAGTTATTTGAAGAACCTCTACGCTTTTTTGAAGCTGTACTGAAAATGCAGAACAAAGGGAAGATGCTCCAGGACAAACTTTCCTCTCTTGATAATCCATAATTTATTTTGTTCTTTTTTTTACTAGAGAAAGCCAAAACTTCTTTGAAGGTGATCATAGTCATAGAATCCTAGAATCCTAGAGTCAATAGAAGAGTTTGGGTTGGAAGGGACCTCAAAACTCATTCCAATCACCTGCCATGGACAGGGACACTTTCCACCAGCCCAGGTTGCTCCAAGCCCTGTCCAAGCTGGCCTTGGACTTCCAGAGACAGGTGATCCACAACTGGCTTCCAGCACAGCATCCAACACTGCTTCAGCGTTTGTCTGAGATGTGCTGTGGAAGTTTTCATACCCCTGCAGAACCATTACCCAGTCAATGCAGCTGAAAGCATCAGACTGATATTTCCCTTTCTTCATTTCCCTTTGACAACATGCCTCATACATAGAATAGGAGTGAGGTGCCACTGGCAAAAGGAAGGGATGAATTTAAATTGGAGCAAGGACCTCACTTCTGCAAAGAAAAGCTTGGGATGGGGCTGCCTGTGCAAAGGGAAGAGTCACTTCCTGGGTAACCACATTTCAGTATCAAGGTGCACAGCAAGTCTTAGGGGTGATATCCTGTGTAAAGTGTTTAGACACACCTATGCTTTGCTGATAGAAAATGCTTCAAGGACAAGCAGTCTGAGATAGTAGACCCCAGCCCAAAAGTCTCCTTTGCCAAGGAAAAAATCCCAAGTGAAGAAAAAACTAGGCAGGAGGTTGGAAAGTAAAGAAGGGAGTTTGTAGTGGGGCTTTGAGATACAAATGGGTAATACAATATACAATATGCTGGCCATGTGGCAAGGAAGTGGCCTTGTGCAAATACTGCACTGCTGTGGTCAATGAAGGTAAGAAAAGATTGAGATGTCCCAGAAGTCTCAGAGACACTGGGGCACTTCCAGAGCCCTGCAAGTGCAGCTGATTTCATCTGAGTTCCGTGCCAAAGTCATGTAGCCCATGTCCATGGGGTATGTCAAAGGTGTCTCTTCCACCACCTTGACCTCACCTCTCCCCAGGAAAGACCTCTCAGAAGCTCCTCACGAAGAAGCCAGAACTCAGCCCACCTCCATAATCTGCAGCTTGGCTGCAGGCCAGTCCCTCCAATTTCCACTCAACTCTCCCACCTCTTCCATCTCTGCCCATCAAAACAGAGGGTTGTTCTGTCCCCTCAGCTGGGTGAACCCAAGGTGGTTTTCAGAGTAAATCTCCTATTAAAATGCCGAAGGGTAGTGTGGCTTTTCCTGTGCAGGGAGGAGCAGCTTTGAACATGAAATCCATTTCTGACAGGTCAAGCGTTTCCAGCCATGCCAGGAGACCTGGACAGACTTCAGCACAAGCATTCACCAGCACAGATGATGCCAAGATCTCTTCCACTGACACTTTTGCCATTTCTCCACAGGCAGGGGTTAGATTCTGAGACTGATTAACACTTGTGGCTGGGAAGGTGAAATTGGAACAAATGAACTTCCTCTAAAATCTGGTGAAAATCCAGACCAGATCCTAAAATTTACAAATAACATTTTGGGCTGGTCCTGCCCACCCTAGGACCTTAATAGTCAACAGCAGGACTGAGGCAGTGACTGCCAGGGAGCAGGATGCCCACGGGCAGCTGGTCCTGCCACAACTCCCAGCTAAGCCTGAGATTGCAAGGTTAAACCTCTTCCCTCCATGGGCAGAGCTGGGTGCATTATGGACAGCACGTGCAGGGAAGTCACATTACTACTTTAGATGATGCAGCCTCTTTAAATTGAAATAGTTTTCTCTAGGAACACAAATTTCAAGAATATCTTCATAACTCATAAACTTCATTATTCCTAAACTCAGGCTGTGGAGGGGCTAGAGATCTGCCCCTCAGCCCCCATCCTTCCCAGGACACGGGCACATCTGCTGCTCCTCCCACCTCCCACACACCCATGTGTGACACAGAGACAGCAGGTGGGGAAACGCCACCCCGCTCCCTGCCAAACCCACACACCTCTTCACGTCCGGAGCCGGCTCCATCGCGGGGGCGATGCTGTGCAGGGACAGGGGGACACTGATGATCCTCGTGGGTCCCTTCCAGCTCACACCACGGCTCCGTGACCCGGCAGAGGGCTGGGGTCAGCCAGGAACCGTGCCCTAGGTCAGCATGTCCAGCGTGTCCAGAATGTCCCGCACGGCGCTCGGGCACCGCGGCTGTGCCGGACCTGGCGGGACAGGCAGCGTCACTGGGGCAGGGACAGCGACAGCGACAAGGAAACCCGAGCCCCGCCAGTGCCGCAGCGGTGTCTTCATGGCACGGGGGACAGAAACACAGAAAGGGACACCTTGAGGCTTCCGAACATTCGGAACCCGAGTGGCAGCGCCCGGGCGGTGGAGCCGGCGCCGGGCAGACCGGGGGCCGTGCCCGCCCAGTTTGTAATGAGCTCTGAGCCTTGTGTCCTGGGCAGGAGGGGATGCTTTCCTGCATCCTTGGTGTATGGGGATGAGCTGGGACATCCCGGCCTTGCCCAGGGAGCAGAGGAGCTCGTTGGCTGCCCGGAGACCTGAGCAAGCGATTTTCCCGTCTGTGACTCAGGGAAATGGGGCACAGTGGCCGAACCTCTAGCGAGCACTGCAGCCCCGAGCAGCCTGGAACCCCTGTCCTGCCGCACCAAAGGGATGGGCAGCCAGGACGGGGGCAGCGAGCCCAGCCTGCTCCCACTCTGCTTGCTAAACCGCAGGGATTAGAAAGCAAGGAAACATTTTTGGTGACAGCTATCCAGGGCAGAGATGGCTGGAGGTCCGCAGGAAGGGATAACGCAGCAGAGGGTTCAGTGGTCACAGTTCCAAATTCAGAAAATCCTGAGTGCTCCTACCGGCACCCACAGGACTGATGCTCCTTTTGCCTAACATCTAATAACATGAATGTTAAAAAAAAAAAAAAAAAAAAAAAAAAAAAAGAATTTAAAGAGGTCCACTGGTGGAAAGGGCAGCATTAGAATCCTCATCACTCCCATTCCCTAAAGACAATGGGTGGAATAGATTGAGCAGAGGACAGATAAAGCCTCCCTTCTTGCTGAGATCCCCGGAAAACTTCCTGCCCTGCAGAGGTCCCTGAGACCAGCGACCTCAGGTGCAGATGCTTCACCATCAAGTGACCTGCCTTAGTTTACACTACATTTGGCTTCCAGGTGGATTTAAGATATCCACCTCAAGGTAGGTCTGCAGCAGCACGTTAACAACTGCAAATATTCAAAATATTCCAGGTGAGGAAAGACCAGAGCCTCTTTGCTAGGTCTAAAGTGCACCTTTGCCTCCTGGCGCAGTGTGACCACCTCGGCAGTGATTTTACATCAGTTAATTCCATCCCTCAGCAGTCCCAGCAGAGATGCCATCCCCCAGACACCAGTTGTGCACCAGTGGATGCTCCTGGAGTGTCCCAGCCGAGCCCCAAGCGCTGTCCCCGCAGCATCCTCGTGTCCCCCAGCCAGCTCTGCGTGTCCCTGCTAAGCCACCCCCAAATCCCCCGATGCCAAAGCCAGGGATGGGATGGACACCCGGCAGGCGGCCGTACCTGCCCGCAGCTCTGCAGAAACCTCCAGCAGCCGGGAGCTGCAGCCCCTCGGGATCCTCCTTGTAGCTGCCCGGGGCTCCGCTCCCCCTCCCTGCCCTGCCCTGGCCGTGCCAGGGCTCTGAGCCCCGTGGGCGATGCCCTGAGCCCGCATTAGTCTCCAAGAGCCGCCTTTGTTCGCGGGGCGGCGAACAACGGGACATTGTGGGGACATTGTGGGGACATTGTGGGGACATTGTGGCACTGCAGGGCTGGCGGCTCTGGGGGATGGACCCTGTCCTCTGCCAGCCCTGCCGAGCTCGTGACTCAATCCCGGCTCTGCTTGCCCTGCAAACTGGAAAAGCTGATTTTTGATCGGTCAGAGGATGGCTAAAGCCAGAGCTGGGCTGCAAGGACAGGAAAACAAAGCCGCTGCTTTTCCTCCCGCACTCTGCGGCTCCCGAGGTCAGTTTTGGGCTGATCCTGCAGAAATAGGTCACGCACTCTCACTGGTCCCTCTCTGTGTGAGGCTGGTATTGCCCATGGCCCCAGCTCCCCTCAATGTCCCATTTCTATCACACCACAACAAGCTCAGACTGCATCTCCAGGCAGGAAAGCCTCGGTATTGACATCAAATTTCAATGAATTTACCTTCTAAATAGCAACCAGTTTTAAGCTGGTGATTGTCAGGAAGGTCCTTGGCATTTTTAGAGTGTTGATGGCAGAAGGATTGGTTTTTAAGGTTCCTTTTAAGGTCCCTTTTAACCCAAAGTACTGTATGATTCCATGTTTACTACTTTGTTTTTTGAGAACTCTCCAAATCCACCTAGAACAGTCGATTAAAGCTCAGGTAATGTAACACTGATTTTCTTGTGAGCAAAGCTCTTCTGCAGCAGTTTCCTGTTTTAATGAAAATGTTTCCATCAGTTAGATATTTTCAGTTTTCTAGACTAATCTTCTCAAGTACAGTAGTTTCTGTACTCTCCTAGGTGAAATATTTCTTGCAAACATGTTATTCTCCATCGAGCAAATTCTGGTGGAGAGAAGGATAACCAGCAATTCTGTAGCACCCATTGTCCTGATAGTTAACAACAACATTGCTCATTAAAGGAGGAAATTTTGTTTTTCTTTAATTCTTTAATCCTTTAATCCTGGGCAGCAGTAGATTTGGGGGTTTGAACAATAGTATTTTTTAAAATATGTATATATAGGATATTTTCCTATGAGAAAAAGAACATAATTTCTGATAAATACTGAAAAAAAGGCACTGCAGAAGCAGAACCCATCCCTCCCTGGGGGCAGCAGCCCTCACTGCTGCTGGGTTTCAGACATGTTTCTGTTCAACCTCCCAAAAAACCTGAAATATCTGTGTCTTAGACATAATTATTTTTTTATTTTGTTTTTAAACACAGCCTTTCCTGCCTCTTTATGAAAGCCTGGGTCCTGGTACAGCTCTTCCAGACCTTTTAAGATGACCCTTTTCCCCCCTTTGGACTAGAGGTCATAACTCATGTAGCTGTAATTACAGAGCCAAGGTAAGGGCAGAGGGAAAGTCCAATGTGGCTGCCTGCAAAAAAAGTCTCTTTGATTCAAGGTGAAGAGCAGCCTTGCTCTCCAACCCGTCCAGTATTCAAAAAAGAATGTCTATGAGAGCAAAGGCAGATATGGTAAAATGTGCCTTTTACCCCTCAAAAACTCACATGTCTTCAGCCAGGAAAACACACTTGGAGTTTAAATTTCTCTGGCTGTACCTGTGCTGCTGCCAGCAGCATGTGCTGGGAGTCCAACATCAGCAGGATTAAACACATCCAACAGGAACAGCTCTCCAAAACAGGGGGATTTGCAAATCCTGCTGTACCAAAACATGAGGAATTGCCAGCAAAAGAGATTTTGTCTCTAGCTCAAAGTTAGCTGTGCAAATAGTAAGGCCAGAGACTGGTCCCTGAGAGGTTTTTTTGGTTCAAGAGGATGAATTGAGGGGGGACAGGAAACGAGGGATCAGAATTTAAATTGTTTTTACTTACCTGCTCTTAAAGCAAGGCTGAGCCCAGCCAGCACACCACATCTGAATGGAAGAGATCTGAACGCTCTGAGCAGCCAAAGCATCCCAGGAAAAGCCACTCTGCCAGGCGAAAATGTGTTACAAAATTGGAATATCTCTTGGAATATCTCATAGGATGATGAGTCACATTTCCGTGGGTCAGCAGAGAGAAGAGGGGGCAGGAGCCCAGAGGGGGATGCTCACCTCTCCCAGACTTTGGCTGCTCCTCTGTGAATCTTTCTGGTCTGTCCCACTCTTAAAAAGAGTAACCTCAGCTAAATCAACTCCTCTTTGAAAGCTGGGTCAAAGCTTCTTTTCCATTGGCGTCAAGTTCTGCCATTTCTCAAACCATGAAGAATATTTACACAAATAGATCAAATCCAGCAGCTTTGGCAAATCGAGTTTAGCAATGTGCATATCTGACATGGAGCAGATTGCAGTAACACAGGAGAGTTTGTCCCAACCAAAGCACTACAGATTTATTTTACCAAAAGCCACTAGATGGGGATGCAAGGACACTTTTCTGCTGTCTGTTATGCTTTGATCCCATCACATTGAGCTGGAGCTTGCCTTTCCAATTCACAGGGGCTGCTGTTGTCTTTCCTTTTTCTCTTCAGGAGCTGACAGTGGTCATTTGGAAACTTATCACTCGCTGAGGGATCCTGTAGGGATCAAGCCTCAGGCAACACTTATGGTGCAAGTGCTTCTTGCTGAATATTATTCTGTGCACCAAGACTTAGGAAGAGTAAAGAGTTTGCCTTTCAGTTTGTGGATTAGTCTTCTTTTATAGGCTGTGGGAAGAAAACGTACCTTAGATTGAACACAGGGGGTGAAAATGGTATTCATCTGGTAATCTCTGAAAATGTCCATACTTTGGAGCAGTTATTGTGGAAAAAAGCCAGGAGATTTCCTGAGGCTCAGTAGTCAAATCTCTGGGTAATTTTTTTTTTGTCTCTCCTCTTTTGAAATCCACAGTTGTCCTAAATAAGCAAGATAAAACCAGGAGAATTGGTGTGGCAGAGGCATGGGCAGGATCAGCCCTGCTCTCCAGGGCAGGAGCACTCCACATTTAGGCAGCAGGAGTCTGTGCAATGCATCACAAATGCTGTGGGAGCGAGGAGGGCTCCAGTCCTACAGTAATTGTCAGCTCTGACCCCCAGTAACCTTGGCCTTCTGCAGTGAGCACCCACTCTTACTATTTTATCTCAAGTGTCAGGATATTTACTTGCTTATATTAATTCCCAGCTCCTGAAGTCAGGTGAAATGTGAAAAAAAAAAACCTCTTCTAGCAAATATTCAACAGCAAAATTCCGGCTTTGGGAGTATGCTAAGGTACCCAAAATGCACTCCAGGCTTCAAAACACAGAAAATGCTTTGAAAGAAATCAAAAAATCTATTAATTTCAGAGCAATTTTATGAATGCTTTCAGTGGTTGGCAGGGAGGGAGAGTGGGTGTCAGGGTATCTTTGGGAGTCTGAGAAAAAAGGCTCTGGTAAATACCCTAAAAACAAATTAATCTTGTATTATAACGATGAATTCAGAAAAGTGG